ATACAGGGTTGCCAACTCTCACACATTTAGCATGAGTCAGAATTCACTCAATGCTAAACGCCACATGATGTAAATAAGATATTATGTGTGCAGTTTAGAGAGCTTCATTGATTATACCGGAACATTGTGAGATTGCGATAAATTGAAGTTAGTGACTGCTTTTTAGTGATTATATGGAAGTGCTATTTGCTCGCTTTCTAGGCTATAATCAATTCAGAATTTGAATAAAAGTTTTGTTTTACGTGCTGCTAACAGGACCAATGGCCACATACCCTGTACATACAGCAAAGTTTCAGGAGTGACATATCCCGCATCCCTCATATAAATGCGGGATTCACTTTCGAAATAGCTTGTTTGCAATCAGGGTTAGTTCAGGTAGGCAATTGCTTAGCCTATATCCACCGCCTCGATGGCAGGCAAGTATTTCAATTTAGTTGAAAAATCGCTCCTCTTCATAACATAGGGATCACGTCCAACATATGTCATGATTTTCTGTTTATACCTTTCTCTTGTAATAGTGTCTAAACCAGTACGGTACGGACGTTCCTCCTCCTCATCCATTCTGCTTTTCACTTCCTGCCCTCCATCTGAATTTTGCGCGTCATCAGAATCACGTGATTGCAAACAAGCTATAGTTTAATTTATATCAGCTCAGGCCAGAGTTGTTGAGCTCGGAAAAGGCCGCATTTGACAGCTTATGACAGCCACAGTCTAATAGATTAGACTCCATGTGAAGCTGTTACTAAAGCAAAACACTGATCATAATCATGCTGAGGATGTGTAGTTTGATAAGTGTGTTTTATATTGGTGAATGGCACTATGCTATCTCTTCTGCTGAGACGGGTAGCTGCAGGTCGGAGTAATGAGCATGGCAAAAGGTGGCGTGCCGAAAGGTAAATGCTACAACAGAAACGAACCCCTAATTCAATTCAAGTTTATTTGTAAAGCGCTTTTCACGATACAAATCGTTGCAAAGCAGCTTTACAGAAAATTATTTTTTTTACAATATATTTAGCAGTAGTTTGTCAGTGGTGACTATGTCAAATTGATGTACATATGGCAGAAATGTATGGTAAAATTCAGTTAATTACGTAATCAAACATACGATGAACAGCAATGATTATATGTTGCAATCAAACTTGTAGCAAAACTTGGTAGTTTGTTGTTTCAGGGTTGGCATCATCTGAGGTCCTCTGAGGGGTTGGCATCATCTCTTCTCAGGTGTTCTGGATCCAGACTGAAGTTTGTGTAATTCCTAGTTACCACGGGATGTCAATCCCGTGCCAGAAACAAATAGAGACATAATTAGCATAGCTGCTGTTCCAACCAATCAAAAATGATTTGTTCAACCCAAGCTAAGGAATAATAATGTGCATTTGAGCAGATATAACTGCAGTACAAGATTATGAGATGCATTATTTGAATGCTTGGCCAAAGAGATGTATCTTTAATCTAGATTTAAACAGAGAAAGTGTGTCTGAACCCCGAACGTTATCAGTAAGGCTATTCCAAAGTTTGGGAGCCAAATGCGAAAAAGCTCTACCTCCTTTAGTGGACTTTGCTATCCTAGGTACTACCAAAAGTCCAGAGTTTTGCGACCTTAAGGAGCGTGATGGATTGTAGCGTGGTAAAAGACTAGTAAGGTACGCAGGAGCTAACCCATTAAGGGCCTTATAGGCAAGTAATAATATTTTGTAACTGATACAGAACTTAACAGGTAGCCAGTGCAGAGACTGTAAAACTGGGGTAATATGATCATATTTTCTTGACCTGGTAAGGACTCTAGCCGCTGCATTTTGGACTACCTGTAGCTTGTTTATTGAAGATGCAGGACAACCACCTAGCAGTGCATTACAATAGTCCAGTCTAGAGGTCATGAATGCATGAACTAGCTTTTCTGCATCAGAAACAGGTAACATATTTCGTAACTTGGCAATGTTTCTAAGATGGAAGAATGCTGTTTTTGTAACATGAGAAATATGATTTTCAAAAGACAAGTTGCTATCTAATATAACACCCAGATTTTTGACTGTAGAGGAAGTAACCGTACATCCGTCTAGTTGCAAATTGTAATCCAAGAGATTCTGTGTACTGTCTTTTGGTCCAATAAGTAATATCTCTGTCTTATCCGAAAATAGTGTTGTTTTTAACAATTTACAGAGATATTTGTTTTGCTAACCTGAATATGACCTGTGCCTAGCTGAAGGCCCATTGGACATTATTGACAAACAGTGTTGGGAGTAACGCATTACAAAAGTAACGATATTACACACTGTCTGAATCGTTCCCTATCTCCTATATAGTGCACTACGTGCCATTCACCATACAGAAAATACTAAATCTGTGAACAAGTGACCGATTTCAGCCGCAGCTTCAGTGTGTATTGATAGTGTAGGGGGCCGGGCGCTTCAGATTCTAGAGAGCATTTGGACAGAAAATCTGATGAGAAGCTGAAGTGCAGGGTGATGTCATCAAAATCGTTGATTCATATTGGCAGAAGTGAGAGACTGTAAGTTTTGAATGCTTATATCTTGTAAATGCAAATTTTGTTATTGTTTTGGAGCACACTAGATGAACTTATGGCAAACATATTCCTACTAAAAGCCAAACAACTTCAATTTTAATTTCATGGCGACTTAAAATTTACAAAATGATAACTGGACACCAAGTTGATAATGTCAAGGCACAAATAAGATTTCAAATCAAGCAATTTATTATGTACCATCAGTATTACGTTTATCATGATCAACAGTTGTGACAATCCTTATTTTCAGCCTGTCCTCCAACACACACAGACTCAAACAACCTTTCATAATGCCAAGCAAAATCACTGTAAAACATAATTCAGGCAAACCTGTTTAAGGCATAACAGCAACATTTTGCTTGCTAACAACCTAGCAGTTTGGGGAGGGACAAATATTAAGCTCCTATTTATTTAAACTGAACAAATGAAACATACTCTATCCCGCAGACGTCTCAATGAATTTGGCTACATCAGAAATGGTATAGTCACAAAAAGTAAAGTATTGCTTTAATTTTGATGCTACTTTTAAATATTAAAGGGTTCTTATGTTTCATCTGTCTGGAAAAAAAATACAAACTTGCATTTCCTTGAAAACACACACACATTCCGAACATACAGACAGTTGATCTCAAGACCGCCTGAACCTTCTGCAACTTAAAAGTAAATCTAAAAAAACTTTTGTCATCCATCTAAGCTCCAGAAGACAGTTGTGCATCCAGTTGAACAATTACGATTTCTAGAAATTCAAATATTCTGGGAGTCCAGGTTTCCACCATCTTGGTATCAACAACACGTGAATGGATAAAACGCACTGCACAGTCAAATACAGATGACATACTTTACATTCTCAATGTGATTTAATTAGACACCACATCACTGTTAGATCAACATTCACATTGTGACAGAACATTTTAACAGTATTGCAAAAACACTTTCTTTTTCTTAATCAAAGGTGTTTTTAAATTATTTGCAGTACAGTTGCAAGTTTGCAACATTTATGAGACCTGCTAAAGGATGAGAGCGTGTCTGCATGCTGTAGGCTTATGGTGGGACTAAGCGTGTGCATTTCGACTTCCAATGTGTATTTGCAGATTATATTTAAAGCTTGACAGCATAACACAAGCAGGAAGATTTGCGTTTGTACACATTTTCCAATTATTAAACACATTCACATGTGTATGCTGCAGTGAACTCACTACTAAGACGTCTTCACGAGGATCCACAGTTACCAGGAGATGGATGTATCTTGGCACACTAAGCAGTCTCATTTACGATTGGCCTATTTATTCACATGACACTTTAGCTAATCAAAGACAAGCAAAGAGGCTACGATGGGGGGCAACATGCTGCACCTGTGAGGTGCTCTTCTGTGTCAAGCACTTCATGAGGCAAATTGGTGATATGATGCTGTACAAATAAACAATTATTGACAAACAATAAATAGAAAGTTAACTCAAAGTGATTACAGCACCTCACAGAAGCAACATTTGGTGCTGTAGTTTCAGCTGAGGAAACATCTCCACATACTTTTTCTAGTTTTCTGATAAGCGAACCAAAAACATTTTACTGGAACTTGCAAGCCTGCAGAAAGAAAATACTCAATGAAGCTGCAAGAAAACAGCTTAATATGATTATAGTCCTTGTGATATTAATGGAATCTGTTAGTTCTATCAAAGATCTATTTCAGAACAGTAGATGCAGTGAGGGAATTTTGAAAGAAAAAATAATTAAACATAGTTCCAATGAAATGTCTCAAGAAGTTGAATCCTAACATTTTGTGCAAGTTTATGAGGTTCTTCACTTTGTTCTTGTTTTTCTTCTTTTTTTATATAAAACAAAACTTTTTTTGACTTGTGGGACACAGCTGTATGTTACGATGTGTATAGATTAACATTCCTCTTGAGCTGAACTGTACTGTTCTTTTCATGATCTTTGGAAGACTTTCCAATGGTCTTGTCTTTCAATAGCATGTCTTTTGGTGCATTTTGCTCCATGACCAGAGGAGGTGCAGTTTATTAAAAGTTCTTCTTTTGTTGTGCATCCCCCTACATTTTAACAAACACTTTCGTGCTGTTTCTTTATTGCATAGATACGTTTATATTAACATCAATCATTGTTTGGTCAATATATGCATCAGTCTTAAACTAAACCAACTGACCAATCTCCAAGTGCTGCCTTAAAAACTTTATGGACCAATCCCACTTAGCAACTGTTGGCATTAGTTGTTTCCTCAGACAAGCTTTTGCACTTTTAATGAAAGTCTATGGTGGATCTGAGTGATTGGATACTATTAAATGCAATTTTACGGATATTATGGTAAAACATTGTTAACAGGTCACTTATAATAGTGGCACGAGGTACCTGGAGCTGATACAAGCTGTATATTTTCTTTATCTAATCGCTAACCACATACGAATTGATTCATCTCTATTAAAAAATGTGTGTGTCTTTTCAGTTTCCTGTGGTCAGCACTCACAGTGTATGTATATCTCTAGTTCAATCTTATGGTATATTCTGTAAAGTTTGTCTGAGTTAGCAACAGTGACCAAGGGGAGTGGAGCTCAACTGACAAATTACTCCCTTCACATTCTATTTGGCCATGACTTTTCTAACCATCTCTCTTTTTTTCTTGCCACCTCAATGCACTTTTTGATGGGCATTCTTCAGGAATTGTTCTCACCTGAATGGCAACTCTCCTCTCCATGCACAATCAACACCGGGAAGAAAAAGGCATCCTGATATGTAGGAGGTCCGTCTCCCTCCCTGGCTTCATCTTCTTCTGCGTCCTCCTGTTGCTCTCTTTCCTCCCCGTCTCTCTCACCTCCTCCTCCTTCTCTGTCCACCACATTTGGCACCTCCTCATCCTCATCACCCTCTCCCCCCAGCACTCTTCTGCTCTCTTCGTCTTGTCTAGCTCCCAAACCTAAGAAACCACCTCCCCCACTTGCCTCTTCTCCTCTTGTCGCAAGTCCTCCACCGACACTTCGGGAGTGAAAGAGGGATGACGGCCGAGGAGCCTGGAGACGCCCCAATGAGAAGCCACTCCTGCTCAGAACCAGCCGTCCCGGGCCTCCAGGACCACCTCCTGATCCACTAGCTCTCATCCCAGCCATGGTTCCACTCAGCAGGGCTGCAGTCGGGCCTCTCAGCCGGGACGGCAGGGAAGCACTGCTTGTGGTGCGGCGGCAACGAGGACAGTTCTGGAGCAAGTAGGCCGAAGCGAAGGCCACTGGAAGAGTTGGGCCACCCGCTGTTGAGTTAGTCCCTTGCCCAGCTGAAGGAGTGTTGGTACCTTGGTTACCCCCGGAACCAGGATCCATCAACAGGGCCTCAGAGTAGCTTGGCACCATCTGCTGGTTGCAGCGAATGTGCCACTCCAGCTCTGTCATGTCCACCGTATTGACACGTGAAATGGCACGATAGCTCGATCCGGTCCCAGGTCCAGGTCCGTGTCCATTCTCGTTGACTCCAACATTCTCAGTTACGTCACCCCTACTGTTATCATCAGCATCACCAAACAATTTCTCTACATGGTAGTGCACATACGCAGTGCGATACTCCGCAACAACCCGAAGTGGCCAGGACAGGAGCAGGGCTGAGGCCAGCCAGAAAACTTTACGCCTGGCGTACCAGGGCTGTCTGGCTGGGTCTGGGAAAGCAAGGATGTGCTCACGGAAGTCCACATTCTTCAAATGCATTCCTTCCCGTGCCTCCATGTAATCATCAAGTCCTTCGTTTTCACCAAAAAAACGTGCACGCTGGGTGAGGTAGGCAGCCTCCGCTCGGGCACTGGCGAAACTAAAGCATTTGGTGAAGCGCAGCCGTACCGCTGGGTAATCCATTAGGCCTCTAAGCTCCTTTGAAACATCTTTGACGCCATACCTCGCATAGTCAAACTCTGAGCTTGCGGCATGCGTGTTTACACGCTCATGATACACTTGCGTAGTGGTATAGGCATCCCCGTTGCGGTAGCGCGTTACCTGTCTTGTCCGTCGCACGTAGTGGTAACTGATGGCCTTCCACCAAATGCACGGCGTTGCTTGCTGCAGCCTCTGTACACGCTCATACACCTCCGCAACCTCTGCTTGAGCCAACATGGCCGTCTTGGAGTAGCAGTGCCAGCATTCCACCAGGTAGACCACATACAGCATGGCCAGGAATGCGAGAGGAATATAAATGTAGCCGCTGGAACAGGGACTATCCAAATCCACTTCTAGGGGGATGTAGACATCGGAGCTTGCTGAGGTCGTAGAGGGGTCTCCAGGCTCCACGACAGCAGCCTCGGGCTCTGTCGGAGCTAGCACTGGAACTTTGCACAGCTTGCACCAGGCCAATGTGCCAAAACACCCGAACATGAGCAGAGTGAGGAGAAGACACTTCCAGTGAGACTCTCGACACAGAGAGGCAGCCAAGGACTGCTTCACTGGACGCTGCTGCAGAGAGGTAAGGACAAAGAGAATATGTCAGAGTGAGCATGTGGTGAGCAATAGGTTATAATAATAAAGACATATTTAGGATTGAATATTGCTTGGAGAAAAATAGATGTCATATTATATTTGCAAATTACTTGTATGGTTAAAGTTCATGCACATTAGTTTAAAAAATATAGACTTAATTACTTTATACCAGCCATGAGATTCCAGACAAGTACTTTTTACTGCAATTGTCAGAAAAGGTGTGCTAACCATTGTTGAGAAGCTATTTGCTATTTGAGAAACGGTCTACTGTTTTATTTTGGAATATTATTTTTTGAGCCTAATGGATCTCATTATGCAAAATTCTTATCATCAACTGTATTCTGAATTTTTAAGCATTTTTAGTCTATAAACAATAGTGTTGGTTGCAATTCATTCGTTCCCTCAGACATTCAAAAAGTCCAGCCATGACAAAGAGAATCCTTTACAGTCTGATGTCACAGGACCATGAAAAAGAATGAAAGAATGAGGAATGCTAAATGCTTCTTTCTATGTGTATAAGACGTCAACTGGGATGCAAGTGAAGTTTTCTGAAAGAAAATGACATTAAAAAAAAAAAACTGCACAATTTAGATTTGAAATGTGCATTTGCACTCTGTCTTGAACATTCTGCATAATGATCTCCTCTCTTCCATAAATCCATAGCCCCTTTTCTTTCAGTATTTTTCTATTAACCAAACCACAAATTCAGAAATTAACATTGGAGTGTAAGTAGCAAGAGGATTATGGCCTTTGAATGACTGGTGTAGCCATTTGAATCATAAGATTCTGAATTTGTGGTTTGGTTAATTGAAAATGACTGAAATGGACTATGCAAGAGAGAGGAACACAAAACATAACACAAAGAAAGACATTGGAATATGATACATCTTTACAGTCAGAGATAAGTATGTTGGCAGGTAGAGTGATATGTCAAAGCCAGATACTCTGTCAGCATCCTTCACTTGACTTCAGTCTTTCATTATCCTTCAACAGCCTGTGCCACACTAATGCCATACTAAAATGTACAGAAATAGCACACTATCCATTGTAGCCTATTACTGCTGCCATCCAAATTATTTTAAAACTGCATTTCTGATATGACTCACAGCTTTCTTCCCTTCAAGCTGTCTCCATTTCTATTGATCGTCATGTAACAAGAGACAGGAGGTTAACTCAGCACCAATGAATGAATAGAGAAGAGAGAGAGAGGGAAATGCTGTAGTTTGTTAATATAGAGGGCCTGGAGGTCAGTGCTGACTCTGGTCTTGAGCTTTGTCTCAGATTTGTTGACCTAACCGAAGTCATTATCTGCCTTGAAATAACACAGACCTCCTTTGATCAGATACTGTACCAGTGAGAGTACATCTATCAGACGGAAGAGCATGATAAATGTTAAAGGGAAAGGGCTAAGTACAGTGGCAGACAAAATGAGAAAGAGGAAGAGACATTGCCAAGAAGGCTGGTAGTAAAACAACAGCCCCAAGGGGAAAGCTCTGCCAAGACCTGAGGGAAAAAAAACAACAAATTACCCTGTGTGGAGAATATGTATCACTTTATGATACACCGTTGCATTACTTAAACTGTGTTCTATTGGTAACACACTTTTTTTAGTAACATGTTCTGATTAATAAACTAAAATGTGAATTACCAATTTAATGCATCTTTTACTACCATGGTTTTCTTATAGTACAATATAATACCATGCAATCTTACGTTATGTGAACATGGCAATCATTCGGTACAACAATATTAGCATGACACCATAAATGTACCACTACAATACTTTTTCGTGCAATTAAATTTTGTGCCAATATGACCTCTTTATTTCCAAGAGAAAAGAGAGCCTGATTGAGGACAAAGAAATCTAGAGAAACAACAAACTGAAGGTCAGAGATAAAACATATGGTTAACAGGAAATATACTGCAGCATGTTTTCTGTGGAGAAACATAATATAAACTGATCTCAATATTTACCACCAAAACAATTATGAGACTGAAATACTGGTAAGAGTACAGTTTGATCATGTCATATGGCAAGCTGTTTATACGGCTTATGATATTCCTTATTATCAACTAGTTACTATTTTATGTTGCAGTAGAGACCTGTATCTTGCTCAGTTTCACTAGTAGTAACTCTTCATAATATTCACTAATTATATGTATACTATAACAGTCACTAATACTTATTCATTACATATTATTTTTATTTTTATTAAGAACTTACTTGGGTGTTAGTACTTTTTAAGTAACAGTAACTTCAGTTAAAAGTTTGTTCTAGTATTCTTAGTAGCAACTGAATATACACTGGTATTTATTTATTAGACAGTAATGTATTTCTATTGTTGCTTAATCTAATTAGTAATATTTTTTAAATTAAATTATAAATAAGCCATTCTGACTAGTCATGATATATGACAAGTAAACTGTAACAAGATATGTTGCTAGTAACAAATGGTATAGATTTGCCTCAAGGTCTATATCTAAAAAGTGCTAGTAAAACTGGAATAAATATGGAATAAGAACTAGTATGAAATGAATACTGGTGAAACTGAAAAATATGCCACTGTATTTATTACTGGACTGTTTACTAAGTAATTAAAAATTGTCAGGAAAAAAATGTTAAAACGGCTTGCCATACATGTCGTGACAGTCTTCCTGTGCTCGACATTAATAATGATTGCGCTATACAATACCAGCTAACCTTTCTATGTAAACACAACACACACCATTTATTTAGGATTTGGTAGAATTTACACGCCCTCGTCTCACCTCTTCCCTCCCAGCTCCGTTCAGAATGGGCTCCTCTCCATCTGCCGTCGCCTCCTGCATCTTTCCCCCGTCCCTCCAGCCCCACGGAGACACCCCGGGGATGGCTTCAGGATGTGGCGGCCCTCGTCCGGGTCTACACCTGAGGGTAAGTCACCCCATCCGCCGCTGGTCCCGATACGGTTGCTCGAGAGCGGCAGCCTGGGCGAAGTCGCATGAACAACCCACCCGCACTTCCCGTCTCCTTCTTGCCCTTCACACATCAAGTGCATGCATTTCTTCGCAAATAGTCTCTCGGTTCTGACCATTTCACCATCAGCTTCATCACCTTCACTATGTTGGTTATGAGGTTGTTGTTATGACTGTATGTCCAGAAACATGGATGATGGGAAGAGAATGCATCGAGGATTTTACAACGCACGCGCCTGTCTGAATACTGGATGTAGGCAGCAAAACGTCAAAACACATTTCCACTAAAGCAAGCAGCGTCGATCCAAGGCGCCCTACTCGTTTGTTGATATGCGTGTTTCTCCTTGAGAGAGATTCAGAGGACGTCAGCTGAGTCCCCCTCCAATCTCTTGTAAGGCAGAGCAGCTGTTACTTCAACACTCCCTTCTTAACTGATGTCACCCACTTTCCCCATACAGCTAGTCCCAGTCCATTGCACCAATGCCCCCTCGCAATTCTTTCCCTCGTTTTAATGCACATTTTGCCTTTTTTGAAACCATACGCTTCAGTGCTTAACGCTTAGGCACAGCAAGTTAGCAGTTTTTGTTTTGAAGCATAGAATTGAACTGCAATACTCCAGAGGGGTGAGAAACATACAGACAGCAAATTAGAAAAACTGTCATTTATATCTTTATTACTTTGGACATTATTTGAGAGTCAACAAATGTACAGAATGAAAATGAAAATACAATGATTAAACTGAAGTGTCGCACACATTTGTATTTGTAATAAGTTGAAAGCCTATGACAGAGGTCCACGTGTACAGTAAAGCTGATATATAGTGCGGCTCAAGGCTGGTCCAAGATTCCTGCAATAAAAAAAATAAAAAAAAACATTTGCATCATAATATAGCAACTTAAAAAAAATTAATATTTAAGTCTCTTAGGCTCAACGAAGAATGCATTTAATCAAAAATACAGTAAAAACAGTAATATTGTGAAATATTATTGCCATTTAAAATGTCTGTTTTTTTATTTTACTACATTTTAAAATGTAATTTATTCCTGTGATGGCAAAGCTGAATTTTCAGCATCATTACTCCAGTCTTCAGTGTCACATGATCCTTCAATATGCTGATTTGGAGCTCAACATTTAGTTTTGTTATCAATGTTGAATACAGTTGTGCTGCTTAATATTTTGGTGGAAACCACAACACATTCTTTTCAAGATTCATTGATGAATAGAAAGTTCAAAGAAACAGCATTTATTTGAAATAAAATGTAGGTCTTTACAGTCACTTCTGATTAATTTATTGCATCCTTGCTGAATAAAAATATAAATTTCTTTAAATGACTTATCCTAATAAATACTTTAAAAATAATTTTCTTTCGAAATATCTTATTGACTCCAAAACATTGAACAGAAGTGTATATATATAGCTATTCTTAGCAGATAAGCAAGCAAAGCCATTACATTGATTAATTTTAAACAAACACACACACACACATTCATAGATAGATAGCACAAACAAATCAAAGAACAAAAACCTTTTGAGTTTTCCATATTTGATAGATGAAAGCAGCTTCTCTTTTTCTGATTCACTGGAGCACTGATCATATGCTTGCAATAAACTACAGAAAGAATGAATGATTAAAAAAAATAAATCAAGCAAAGCCAATAGGCTTTTCCAGATGATTAAGCAAACCAATGGGTATTATGACATGACCTTGACATGATGTCATCTGTATGCGTTACCAATCAGTTGTTATAGAATACAGTAATTTTCATTTCATACAGTGAGTAAATGTCTGGTATAGTAGAATATAAATGAGTGATTTAATGAGTGTGTGTCTGTGATAGCAGGACAGTAGACAATAATTTAATGAGTGAGTGTCTGTGATAGTGGAATGTAAATTAGTTTTAATGAGTGAGTGTTTCTGCAAAAGTGGAGAGTGAGTCACACCTGCTGACTGTGCTGTAGTGTTCAAGAACAGCGGCTGCTTTATCACCAGAGACTCCACTGATCTGCATAAGCTGTCGTGCAAATACTTCCCGCACTGTCTGGCACTGTGTTTGCATGAGACAGAGATCTTGATTAGAAATAATAGTAGGATTTATGATGAAAAAAACACTGAAAAAACATTTTCTCAAAGAAATTCATGTGATATCAGGACAAAAGTCACCAGCTAATATATATATTACATTAGCTGTATATATGTATGTATATATATATTTATTTAATTTATCAGTATTGGTTGATACTGGATATTTAATTGCAGGCCCTTTAAGTTAGTACTTGATGATAGTAATCTAAAAAAAAAAATAATAATTTAATTCTTTAAATGTTCTATTTCAACAAAGCCTGTTTTCAGGACTTTCTCATTTCAAAATGAATATTTAACCATACTTTATTATGCATAATATAATATTATGCGTCACAATACCAATTTAAATTTTTTGTGTTATTTTTTTATTTTAGTACAGATTTTTAAATATTGTCATTCATCAAACCAGCAATAATTATTTTCATGTTATCAGGAAATCATATCGGGCATAATTTTAATATCAGTGCAACCCTACTTTCTCAAATGTCAACTGATTTGTTGACATTACCTTGTTCTTAATAGCCCCATAGTTAAATTCTGTGAAGGCCATGAGAGAACAAGAGAGGTTTGCCGTTTGCTCACTCTCATCTCCTCCATCGCCCTCCAGTTCTCTGGAGCGACAGAATAACGTGCAATTCTGACGATGAAAAAAAGAAAGTCTCAATAACAATAAAGCACAAAAAAATCCTTACACAAATTAAGAAGTGCTTCACACATGCTGCATTGATTTGACTGTAAAACATACATGGTAGAGTTTCTGGAGGTATCTGGTCATGATGGTGAGGTAAGCAGCAGACTCTTTCACATCCTGTACACGCTTCACAAAGAAGCCGTCAACCACCTGCGAATTACACACTTATTTATACAAGCACATCATCATCGTCATCCACTATTTCATGATGGTCTGTATGGCCTGCGGTATACCTGTGTATTGACTATTGCTTGTTGTAATGTACTCTCAGGTAAACTGAGATGAGCCGCCGCTGATCCGCACTCCTCCACTAGATAAATGGGCTTACGCAGACCACACCTCTTCAGTCGAAACTAAGCATGCGAATGCGACAGGAAAAAATAAATAAGAAAATAATAAATCACAAATAAATTCTCAATTCTTTTCATTATATCTAGAGAGCAGATAAATAGAGGTTATCAAGAAAAAATGGGATTCAAGGTTCATTTTTATATATATTTATATACAGGTGCATCTCAATAAATTAGAATGTCGTGGAAAAGTTCATTTATTTCAGTAATTCAACTCAAATTGTGAAACTCGTGTATTAAATAAATTCAGTGCACACAGACTGAAGTAGTTTAAGTCTTTGGTTCTTTTAATTGTGATGATTTTGGCTCACATTTAACAAAAACCCACCAACTCACTATCTCAACAAATTAGAATACTCCATAAGACCAATAAAAAAAAATTTTTTAGTGAATTGTTGGCCTTCTGGAAAGTATGTTCATTTACTGTACATGTACTCAATAAGTGGTAGGGGCTCCTTTTGCTTTAATTACTGCCCCAATTCGGCGTGGCATGGAGGTGATCAGTTTGTGGCACTACTGAGGTGGTTCAGTCTGTGTGCATTGAATTGATTTAATACACGAGTTTCACAATTTGAGTTGAATTACTGAAATAAATGAACTTTTCCACGACATTCTAATTTATTGAGATGCACCTGTATATATATAGGTCATGTTTCAAACCTTTTGCTCTCTGAAGCGTCCATCTATAATGCTTCCACACAGATCATCCATCCTCTTCCTCTCAATTATGTAATCAAGCACCAGCTCTTTCCCCACAGGTGGACGCAGCTGTCCTGAGGGAGGACACCATTTTTTTGGGGGGAATTTTGGAATTTGAACCTTTATAATAATAATAAAAAAAACTTAAAGGAACACTCCACCATTTTTGAAAATAGGCTCATTTTCCAACTCCCCAAGAGTTAAACAGTTGAGTTTTACCGTTTTCGAATCCATTCAGCCGATCTCCGGGTCTGGCGGTAGCACTTTTAGCTGTAGCTTAGCATAGATAATTGAATCTGATTAGACCGTTAGCATCTCGCTCAAAAATGACCAAAGAGTTATTTTTCCTATTCAAAACTTGACTCTTCTGTAGTTACTCAACTGTTTAAATCTAGGGGAGTTGGAAAATGAGCCTATTTTCGAAAATGGTGGAGTGTTCCTTTAATGGATTGAATCTATTAAAACAGTGATTCTCAACTAGGGGGCCTCTGCAATCCTCCAGGGGACCCCAAAAAGTCTTAAAATTATTTAAAGGAATAGTTCAACCACAAATCAAAATTTGCATACAATTTAACCACCCTCAGGCCAACTAAGATGTTAATGAATTTGTTTCTTCAGATTTGGAGAAATTTAGCATTACATCACTTGCTCACCAATGAATCCTCTGCAGTGAATGGGTGCCGTCAGAATGAGAGTCCAAACAGCTGATAAAAACATCACAATAATCCAATTTGTTCCAATGAAGAAACAAACTCATCTATATCTTGGATTAACTGAGGGTGAGTAAATTTTCATTTTTGGGATGAACTATTCCTTTAAATTGTTAAATTGCTATATTGACAATTTAATTAAAAATGTAAATTAAATAAATAAAAATAAAGATGTTCAATATTAAACTTTTTATTACAACAGAAGTACATATCAGCTTAGATAGGAGTCCCAAAGGTTGAGAACAACTTTATATAAATGTCTTCATTTGACCTACTAAACTTTTATTGTGCATTTCTTCTAAGAGCAACAATGCCATCTGCTGGTTATTAACTAGTCCTGAATCTCTGTTAAACAACGGAAAAATTGCTAGTTGACTTACCAGGAACAGGTGTCACTTTCTCACGCGCCACCCAAAGGAAATCGCCCACATTCAGTTTCCTGATGTCAAAGGTCACACAATTCCTTTGCAATTCCTTAACCAATTCTTGTTTGCGACCACTGCTTCCCCTGTCAAGTTCAGAATATCACTGTGATATAATTCTACAAACTATTGTCTGTTTTATAAAAGACAATTCATTAGAGAAACTTGAAATTAAATCTCTTATACTCTCTTTTCCTCTTACCCTGTTGTTTCGATGACGTCGACACACAACACAATGTCATAAGAGCCAGGTGGAAGATGCCAACTCGTTGCTGTTCTCCCCGACTCTAAGGTCTGAGATTTTCCTGTGGCGTCTGATTCAGAGATGTGAGCTCTGGCCTGGTTTACAGATAGAGCTGTTGCAAGCCTTTCTGAAGACTTGCTGGACCTACTGGCAGATGAAAGTTTATACAGTTAATATGCCACTACTGGCACTGCTTCATACCCTCCAAACATGCAAAACATTTTGGACACGTCTTTGCACTTATGCAAAAGCCAACCTGTTTCTACCCACCAACTCTCTTTATCTTCCTGCTCCTCCTCATCCTCCTCCTCTGAAGTCAGGTCTACAACGTCTGGTCCATCCTGAGAGTCCTCCTCTTCACTCATTTGCTCCACATGTTCTTTAGCCATCCCCGACTCTTCTGAATCCAGCTTCTCGGCTAGAGCCAGACCCTGATCGGTCAATGAATACCTGAAATAAAACATGGAAAGCGAGGGATGAGCAACTCAACTCAAGCTAAAGCAGAAATCCAGGGCTGTGATTGCAGTTTACATCTCACCTGGCAGGATTGTGTGTCTTCACCAGAAGGTCTTTCTGAATGAGTGTGCTCACCGAGGACCATGCAGTGTACTTGCTACCAAGATCAGGCTATGAGTAGGGGAAAACAATATACTTAAGGTACAAGCAGTGGTTACAGTGAGGTTACAGTTCGGCAAGTCTTGTGTAGAAGTGAGCTGTTTGCCTTACCACTGTGAAGGACTTCTCACACAAGGGTTGTGCCTCAGTTTGTAGTTCATTCCTAAACATGAAGCCTTTACTGCCAGGCATCTAGAAAACAAGGGACAAACTTATACCTTTACATTTTATAGTGCGTTAGTACCCGCCATTTTTTTTAGCAGCCTTGGTTCTGAAAATGTATGCAAGTATAACATAAAATGAGATGAAAATAAATGTGCTGGTTTTACCTGCGTGTGTCTATACAAAGTGAGCAGTACAGCGTAACCTCCAGACTTCTTCTGCGGCACATACTCTCTCTTTTTCTTAGTTCCCTTCTCCTTTCGTACTTCTTTTTGTGTTTGCTTCTGCAAAACGAGTCATTAGTTTTCTAATATTAACCCGAACAAGTACTTGCAACTCATTTCCTTTTTTTAAACCAACCATATGTTCACTCAAGTTTCCCGAAGGTTCCTTTTGGGGTTCTTCCATCTGTTTGGAGGAGGCCATGTTGCTCCTATGGCAAGAAGTAGCCAAGTGGATTGGAGCATCAGAACCTTTCAGGAATAAAACAAGATTGTAAACATGACACCAACAGATTAAACAACGGTTCAAGATAATGAAAGGTTGTGGATACTCTAAACATTTGAGAGAAAATCACCGTCTGCACTGAACTGAGGTCCCTCACCGTTTTCCCTATAATGCTTCTGCAGTCGCTCGTCCAAAATCTTGCAGATCCCGTCACCGAAATTCTGCAGGATCTTCGCCTCTTTCCCGTTTTTCAGCGGCAGAGGATATTTTTTCAAAGAGTTTATGGCCTGAGAAAAAGCACAGCATTGCAGTCGCTGAGTTTAATCGGTTACTAATGGGTTTATTTACGTGTATTTACGTTCCAACTTTCGAAGCTAAATCCAACAGAACCTCTCACCTTCTGGTACACGTACTGAGTCTTCAGGCCTTTCTCTTTGGCGCTGTCACGCAACTCTGTTAACCACTGTAAGAATAGAGGGTTCGGGCATGAAGGTACCGGGCGCTTCCGACCCAAACACACCTGATCCGTCGGCATATTTGCATCGAACATGCAATTTACATCCTATAAAGTAAAAGACATTCATGTTGCTTAAATATTTGTAATGCAGCTGACGTAATCTCAGTATACAAGAGTGGACACGTAACGTTACTATATAAATGTATGTATGAAACGTTATGTAGGCTACATTAAAAACTAAATGAGTAGCCTATTTGCACGTTTAGTTATTTGCTTGCAACTGATGTGCTAAAATCCTATAGTGATCATCTTTTAAAATGCATGTAAATTATTACTATTATTAGATTATCTGCGGGGTTTTGGGGGTGCTTTATTTACCGTAGTTTAGCTGCCCGCCGCTTCCCCGCCTGTGTTTTCTAAAGTATTGTAGTTACGTCATTTCCGTCCGACGATACACAAGTAGCGCCACTCCAAGGTTTGATGGTGCATTTTAGTAAACCTCAAAACGTAGAAACATGGCATATTGCAAGAGAGTTATTTGGACTAAACATACACAAAATGTTTGGATGATATACAACTATAGTGGTTAATTTGCTCAACTTGGGCTCGATTAATAAGTAAATTTCATCGCACTTCAACTTATGTTTGTTTTAAACGAGAAATCCTTGTACAGTATTATAGTTTGAAAGGGTGGTACTGAATTTGTTGGTGCTGTTAAAAATAACGGTTTTAAGGCACCTTTGAGCCGTTAATGCCTGATGGGACCACAATGAAACAGCCACTGAATTCCACGAACAAGACCAAACAAGGATCTGGAATCCACCAACATCCACCCACTGAATCTTTTTCTCTCCTGCTATCTCTTATCCATTCTCTCTTGCATGCAAATTCTAAAATGCTTTATTGGTCTAATCTCCATCAATAACTGTTTGCATGCATGCAATTATGCATAAAAAGTACTTTAAAACATCAATAATTCAGTTCTAAGTAAGTAGTTGGGTTTCTGATAGTATGTTGCTTATTCCTGAAATAATACAAGAGAATGAAACACACTTCTTTTTAAACCATTAACAAAAGCACATTTATTGTGGAGGTATGTTGTTATAGATTGCCACAGAGCCTACTTAATTTATCTAACAGTGACAAGAAATTAAATGTTATTACGTTTATGATGCTTTTGAATATAAAAAAGTACAAAAAATAATAATGCAACCCAAAAAACACAAGTATTACAAGTATTAAAAGTTGTTACATGTGAAAGTAAACGCATAAAATCTAGCAAAAACATACCCAAGAAAATATAAAAACTACACCAGGATAAATATAAATCTTTTTATGATAAATTTATGCAGGTATATATTACATACAGTAGTACATCAACAACACAAAATTAATTTCCTTTCAAAATCCCTTTTTCAAACATTCAGAGACTGCTGATATGTAACTATCAGTCGTCACAGAGTTCACAACAGTATTATTTTAGTGTTGGAACATTGCTACATAAAATCATTGTCCCACACAGTACAAATGGAACTATTTAATGTCACGTTCATCTGTGTATTTCTCCTGAGTTGTGTTTCATCTCATCTATTTTAATAATAATATTATTATGTAAACTGAAGTAGTGCATACTTATGCTGTAGACGTTATCGTCTGCTTTTGTGTGTTTCACAGGGAAAAGTACAGCCCGATTCTGCAGCAAAAGTGTAAACTGATTCTCAGCGTACTGCCATTAAAACAGCATTTTGCATGACTTTACTTTCCCTTTTTAAATGACCTCTTCCCTTATTGTCTGTATACACAATGAAACATGAAATCATCAGAATGCACATTAATCACATCCCTTTATATATATATATATATAAAAAATATTGTTTAGGAAACATCCCTCTCTCTAGCTCCCTCCTGACCCTACAGTATCATCGCTATTATGAGAGAGAGGGGAACCAGGTTGGGAGGTGTCATCGTTGGTAGCGTTCACCATTGGTGACAGTCTTCGTGCCCCCTTGGCCCGCAGGAGGACACTGTTTGGATGTTCAGTGTGGAGGTGGCGCAGCAATGCATCCTGGGTAGAAGCTGTATGGCCGCACTCTTCACAGACGTACAGCTTGTTGCGGCGCTCCTTGTAAGCATACTGCTGCATGACACCATGAATCTTTTTCATGTGGGACTCCAGAGAGCAGCGCTGAGTGAAGGCCTTCTCGCAGAGATTACACTTGTATGGACGAACACCTACAGGTGCAACATAAGAATATTCTTTTTTTTTTTTTTTCAAAAGTTGAAGATGTTTTGCATGTTGGTATAACAGCACTTTTTTCTTTTAATAATAATAATAATAAAAAAATCAAATTGAGAAGGAAATTACCCTTTTTTTTAAAAATTAATATGATTCCAACATCTTTAGCAATAATACAATTCTTCTTATTATTAATGTTTATTATTAATTGTTAATAATTGTTAATTATTAACAGTTTTCCCACTTAAATTTTTGCAGAAAGTGTGATACACTACCATTCAAAAGTTAGTAAAGTAAAGTGAAGTGAAGTAAAATAAAAATAAAAATAAAATCTTTTATTCAGCAAGGACGCATTAAATTGATCAAAAGTGACAGAAATCTTTTGTAACATTATAAATGTGTTTACTATCCATTAAAGAATCCTAAAAAAATATGTATCATGATTTCCACATAAATGTTAAGCAGCAAAACATTTTCAATAATGATAATAATAAACTATTATTAATAGTTTTTTAATTATAATAGCACCCATTAGAATGATTTCTGAAGGATCATGTGACACTGAAGACTGGAGTAATGATGCTGAAAATTCAGCTTTGCATCATAGGAATAAATTGCATTTTTATATATATTCAAATAGAAAAGTTATTTTAAATTGTAATAATAGTTCACAATATTACTGTTTTTACTGTATTTTGATCAAATAAATGCAGCTTTGGTCTTTTTTTTAAATTTTTTTTAAACCTTTTAAAAATCTTAATTATTCTAAGCATTTTTGACTTTTAGTCTATCTATCTATATATATATAAAATATTTTATTTATTTTTTTGACCAATTATTTGTGGCTACTTTTGCTTCATCGCGAAGAAACGAAGCTCTTACCTGTGTGTGTGCGGACGTGCCTCTTGAGATCGAAGGTGTCGTTAAAGCCCTTTCCGCAAAAGTCGCACAGGTGTCTCTTCTGCTCGCTGTGACATTTCAGGTGTCTGTTTAGCATGCGCTGGAACTGGAAAACTTTTTGACACACCTGGCAAACATAAGTACCACCACTCAACCGCACTGAAGACGACTTAGCGGCAGGAGGGGAGCAAGATGTCACTATAGAAGCAGGTGGACTTGTAGTTACACTAGAAACAATAGGTGGAACCTCTTTGGGAAGCTCACCTGTGGTGACCTGCAGTGAGATAACAAACAAAGAGGGAAATATAAAGAAGAAATTAGTGGTAGTGTAAACACTCGTAAGTAAAGTGATATGAGTATAACCCACACACACAAGCAATTCGCAAATCAATTATGTTCAACAGTGGCACAATGGCTCTGCAGCTGAATATGAGCTTATTGCCGCTGTAACTAGATCTTAGATCAACATAGTAAAAAGTAAACATTTTCCAGAAGCCTCACCTTTATTTTAGTGCGCACATATGTATTGTTGTGTGTGCTTCGGATGTGCTCAGTCTCTGTACTCTGGCCCAGAGCAGTGCATGATGGGAGCTCAGCGGCAGGAACCACTGCACCGGGGTCATTGGTGTACATCTGGTTGTACGTGTACATGCTGTGGTCCTTGCGAGTGGACAGGCACAGCGCCACCTCTGCTGGACTGGCTTCGGTCTCCTCTCGAAGCGCAATGGGCGACATGGAGACTGAAGGAAAAAGAAGACACGTTGGTGTCAAATTTTAGAAGTACAAACTGAGGTAGAGCAGAAAGCATCATTCATTGTGTCACCACAATATTTGCTTTGCTTATTTGGCCCGAGTATTGTTTAAAGACAAATGATGACAGGAGCAAGATGTACAAATCTTTCCAGCATAACATCTTGGCTTTGTGAACAAGTGTGGATTACATCCTACATAGCTGAAGATGAAGGATGTGATTGCTAGACAATCAGAAACTGGGTGTGTATGTGGCTCTCGAGGCTAAGGGGGACAGTTGTGCCTCTGGGCCAGGTGTGTGAGAATGCGAGTGTGAGTGGGTGGGGTTGGCTGGTGCGCATGAGTGTGTGAGTGTATTGTGCCGGGCTGAAGTCAAACCACTCCTGTTACTGCTTTACCAGTCAGACCAGCTGAGCTAGAGGCACAGACTCGAGCTCCCTTTATACAAACCTCCACGCAACACAATACATCAGATGGATAATCTGCAAATGTTTGCCAGTAAACTATCATGTTCTTTCCTAAGAGGTTGTTCGATCATACCCTACACATCTACTGAAGAGATTATTAGGTCACTGGGAGAAAAAAAAAAAACATTGGTTGCATGGAGATAGATTTCAGATGGTCAAAAACACTAATACTAGTAGCCTGAACAATGAATCTGTTGATTCTGGTGTGGCACAATCGACTGGGTTGAAAATTATAATGCAAATATATGATGTGTGCAGTAGCTAATGGTAAAATGCAACAATCTATAGGCTATTTCATAACGACCATATAATAGAGTTACTTGGTTTCCTGTCATAAAGAAATCCAAATGTTTAGTAGTATGTTTAGTAATTAGTAGTTTGATGCTGAAGAGACCTGAATGTCTGTATGATTTATAAATGTGACTGCTATATATATATATATTTATAAATTCTACTCATTATTATTATTTTATTTTTTAACATAATCTACCAGTAAAAACAGTACATAGCAGTGATTGTTTCTTTTTGCCTTTGCCCTGGTGTTTGGCAACCCCTCCCTTCACAGACAGTCACACCACAAATATAACATAACCAAACAGATTTTATCTTAAATATCACAAATAGATTCGACTTTGGAAAATATTTTAGGATTTTTTGATAGGTAAAAAGTCATTTTAATTAAATGCATTAGGCCTAGTCATAACTATTAGGGGGGAGGGGGGGGGGTATCCTCTTAGATATGAAAAGATATGAAAACCAAAAAAATAATCATATTTGACCTTATTACAGACTATAATAAATCCTAAACTGGTTTATCAGTCATTCAAGCAAGTGTAGCCTAGATTTGTCAGATGATTACTATTATTTTAGTTTTTCAAGTTATTACATTTCTTGTTATGTTTCAAAGTCAATTTCACACTTCTCTGACAATTTCTATGCGTCACATGGCAGGCGAAGTAGAATAAAACAATTAAAAAGAAGGAAACTAAAGTTAACGAATGGGTTAAAACAAGAGTCATAAAATGGATAGGCGACGTCGATAAATATGCCTGTGCTCCGGGTTTGTTCAGCAGATATCGAAAAGTGAGGTGAAAGGTGTACTCGCGGTGTGTGTGTGTGTGTGTGTTTGCTAAGGGTGTAGCGGGAAAAGAGAGACAGCGCGGCGAAGCCCGTTATTTCCTTTACCGCTGTAAACATTAACCCAAAACCATATCACGGACGACAAACTAAAGGACCACGATGCGTTAAAACGGATGCTGCACTGATTAGAAAGAAAGAAAGAAAGAAAGAAAGATCAATTAGATTTTTTTCATGTCAGGATTGCTGTAGAGAAAATATCAGAATAAATCCATTAATCACAGATTAGTAGCCTACCGTCTTTTAAGTAGGCTATTTAGCCTATACAAGTCAGTAAACGTTATGGCAACAAACGGAACAGGTACAACAACCTTCTGACATACCTGCATGAATCAATGGTAGGCTATAAATGTCTCTGTTTCAAGTTGGTTCAGTTTATGAATGGTCTGTTATGCAAATGGATTAAACTTTCACAAAAAACCGCAGGCTGACGAACACAAAAAATATCTGAACGCATTCTTTTAAAATGTCAAATTTCTACTAGGCTACACACATTTTAATTGTTTAATTGTTAACCATATATATATATATATAGAGAGAGAGAGAGAGAGAGAGAGAGAGAGAGAGAGAGAGGCTATCTCAGAATATCTCATTACGCCTGTAATATGATGATAAGTGTAGAGATTGAAGAAGGGGCTCATAATGAACGGTTGTGTCTATTCCGTTAGGTGATCCGCAGTAATATGATTAGCCTACCTCCAAAAACTGTTAAAATGAAGCAATTGTCAGTAACTTCCTTGGAATAAGAATAAATAAATATCACCCAATCAAAAAGTTATTATAGTGTTTTGTCTAATCTAGATGCAACTTTCAAGGGAAAATGTTCTCTTAGCCTACTCTCGAGAAAAAAAATCGGCTACACTTCACTGGCTAGTGCTTTAATTTCAGACGACTATATAGGTTTTGTGTATAGGCCACTACATGGCACCGTGTGTTGCAATGAGTTTCACGTTATAAGGAAGACAGTTGGGTCTGAAGGTCAACCAAAAGAGCAATAACGGCCCTCTTACACACAAACTCATTTTATAAGATCATGTTTAGTTAAATCACTCACAAAGAAATGGTCAAATTTAGGTAGGCCTAAGTTTTGTATGTACCTTTTAATTTAGTGTAGCCTATAAAAAAGGCTACGCGAAACACACTCACACACACAAAAGTTATTAAAAATTGTAAAAACAAAATAGCCTACACAAAATAAGCTATTAAATTACGCAGGACTGTTCCTAACCCTGTTCCTGGGAATGAACTCTTGTCTTACTGAATGTGCCATTCGATGCATCCGTACCGTTATCCGGATTGTGAGCTAAAAGTGTTTACTTTTGTATCTGCTCACCTGGAATATAAATGTCACCGCGTTCATGATCCGGTAGATTGCTCCAGTTTCTCTTGCCGAGTGAATTACCCGTTTTCTTCACTAGAAAAGCTCGTGGCATGGTCTATTCCCGATGTCCTTCCCGCTATCTCTCAAAATTAAAACGGCAGGCTTTTTAACACCGACCTACTTTTGGAAAAACTGCTCCACAATACAAATTAAGCGTAAAGTCCTTCTTGGATGGTGTCTTCAATTGCCTTATCCTCAATTTGGAAAAGCAAACCCGAGCTCTCCGCTCTATACGCACACCTCTTCACTCCAAACGTTTTGTACCTGTACAGGTTTCCGTGGAGTTTCCCACTACATTTACCCGCTTCTGCTTACACCTTCCGCCGTCTTCCGCTACACCGAGCTCACGAAGTCTTCCTCGGAAATTCACTCAGTTCTAGCTAGGTGTCTTTGTCAAGGCGGGAGGTGATGTTTGTGTATGTTTGTGGCAGGTAAATAGTCCAAACTGCTAAACCGACGAACTACAAAACGAATTTCAGCGGCTGATTAGAGCGCAGGTACACATTTCATGAGGAAACATGTAACAATGCGCATGCGTCTGAATATAACGGTGACAACAGACCCGACCCAGTCCGGCCTCTGCGTCTTACCTGTCCAACCGGTTTTCTCTTTCTGTCTGCCCCCCCTCCCCTGAACAATTCCGCTTCAAGGTGGCACCGAAGTGAAAATAGAGGTAGTAGTCTACGAGGCAGGATGTGTCCAAAAAACGAACTAAAAAGAAATCTTACACCGATTGTAGGCTATACAGTTAAAGTTGCCTATTACGTCATGTAAAAAAGCTCGAAAGACTGTAGTTTCTTCCTTGGGGTTTTCTCTGACACCTTAAGAGCATTGGGCATTTATATATGGTCGACACAGCTCAGATGACAGAAGGTCATTTATTTGTTGTTTAGTGTTTAGTTTAAACTCATATTGCTTATTGTCCATTAGACATGGGAGCAGCCAGTGGTGTGATAATGATAGGTTTCTTGTAACTGCCAAATGCAACTGCACACTCTTTCTTAGTCCCTGAAAATAAAACTTTAACAACGTTACAATGAAACTTCTGAGACCTAATCCCTCCAGCATTTCACACCTTATTTATGAGGCAACTGATAATGACAGGTGAGCTAACAAAAACACCTCAAGTGTACACAAAACAGCAGTTCTTCATGATGCTAATTGAACAATTAGGAAAATACTCAGTGCTAACAGTTTCGTGTTGGCATGCAAGTTTCTGAAGACCATATCTGCTGTTTTGTAATTTCACTTAAGCCAAAATGTCTGCTAAAGTTGCAGTAAACATATTGTATATTTTCCAAAATGATCATGCTGTTCTTCGGCCTGCAGAGTGCTTCCAAGATATGAAAACCAAATTTTGCATGAATTCCTAACATGCTTATTTTTTCTCAGTCATGTGCGTTAGTGATTAGTGACGTGACATGTGGCCAAGTATGGTGACCCATACTCGGAATTTGTGCTCTGCATTTAACCCATCCGTAAATGACCTAGATAATGGGAGAAGAGAACAATATATAAATGGAAAACAGGTTGAGGTAAAAAGAGCAAACAGGTGGAAAGATGAAGAGATGATAGGACAAATGAGAAAGAGAAAGACTTTGAGGGAAAGAAGGAGTGAGTAGGTGTGCAGAATGACAGGTATGCTGTCTGGGCTGTTGGAGTGGTTACGGCAGAACATTTGGCTTAAGGTTTTTTTTTTTTTTAAATCAGCCTCTCCATCCATCCCTCACTAAAACTTAATCTGAGAAATTATCACAATTTCAAACTTCTAGGGGTCTATAGTTGAAAATACATTCAGCGTTTCCAGTGAACAAGACTCATATCTGCAGGGCTTGCATTCTATAAGCAGTTATAAATCAGTTCAGCCACAAGACGGATGTCCCTTGCATCTTATACTGTAACTTTACTGTTACAAACATTGATCTCAAAGACGGAGACGTTGGCTGCCATGCAAGTAGAGCTGGCAGGAGGGCAAGAGTCAGTACATTCAAGCTCAACCTGATAGACGGCCTACGACCATGTCTCTGACAATCACCCCATCCCTTCCCCCATTTCTCTTCTTCTCACCTTGCTCAGAGCCTGCTTTGCTTCATTCCCTTCTAAGCCATAACAATGACTGGTAGTGACTTTTACTAAAGCTATGTTTTTGTTTTTTTCCACAGCCAGGTGGAGTTGTGACCAGCATGCATTACTGCCACAGTATTTGTGTGACAAGACTTTAGCGTGCGTCACAGCTGTTGACCAGAATCGATTCTGAAAAGATAGTTTGGAAAAACTCTTCTCACAGATCAACATTCTAGAGTGTATTAGTGAGGAATGTTGGTTGGTTACTATTGAAATATGATAATAGTCATCACACACACATGCTCTCTCATTCTGTCTTTTTTATGTCATGTCAGATGTACGTTCCTGCTTGGCTTGTTACACCTGTGATTTCTGCTATGTTGAAACTTAAAGTTCACATGATGCTATTTTTTTAATCCTTACTTGAACTTCCTGGAATGCTTTATTATTCTCATCACTATCTTTTTTCTTTATTATTAAGTGGCAATATTTGCCACGTGGAATTGTTTTGAGGCATTTTTCTTTTACTTTATGAGGGCATCCCCCCCCCCCAACCATTAAACTAAATACAGTGTTCTGTCCATTTATGTCAAATACTTCTATTGAAACAATTGACTGAATTAATTTTCATTATGAGGATCATTATATCAGCAGCTGCTAATGTGCAAAAATATAACAGCACAGTAAGGGCTCTGCTTGAATACATTTTAACATAACCGGTTGGTGTCTGTGTATATACTAAGTTCACAGATTCGAAGTTTTTTTTTTTTGCAGTGTTGACTATACGTTCAGTGTTTTCAGAGCTTTAATGAAATGATTTTAATAAAAAAAACACACTTCATGTTTGCTACACATTCAACAACATACACTTCTGAGGCAGCAAATACAAGCACTTGACAGCTACTGTAGATGAGCACAGTATCTACAGACATTTAAACCATGCTGAGCCCGTTTGACCTAGAATAGAATATCAGTGAAATACATCAATATTCAAAAATAAAAACAAAAAAGGAATTTTTGTCTCTGGTTAATTTCTGACCCTGATACATATTTTTATTAATTTCCCTTATAATTCCCCCTGAATTCTCATTTCATGCACACATTTATTTGTTAGGTTCACATGGCATATGTGATTGTACATCTAATTCTACAGTTACTGAAATTCATATCTAATTATTAAAAAAGTTTTAGACATGTTTAGAAGTGAAAATAGCAAACATTAATTAATACTATTTAGTCATCAGTACTTAACATTATTACTTAAAAACACAGAAACAGATGGTGCCAGAGAACTTGATCAAAAAGTTTCTATTAAATACAATAAAAACAAAATGCTAAAAAAGTCTGTAGAAATGTGTTTACTGTAGGAAGTCAATTTCTGAATAGAAAATACCTTAAAGTCTTGGCAACAAAAAACATTTCCTATATTACTGCCCACATTTGCATATAGTGTGGCATGGAAACTGCCATTAAGCATTCTATTACAAGCTTTTCAGTCAAATTTAAATAGTAAAACGATTATATATATATAATATAACACAGAACATCATATAGATACTGAGATATTGCTGTTGTGACAACTTCAATGCTTGACAACAAGCCTCAGTCTTCTGTATATGTTCTATATGGATCAGTTTAACAGAGGCATCTCTTGGCAAGGATAAACAGGTAGACATCTGTGAAGTTTGCTTTATATGTAGTTTTATTTGCCAATAAGTCATAAAGGGCAGTTTGGCTATGGCGAAGACGAATGTAACCACGTGTTTGCTTCACGTTAGGGAAAAAGTGCAGTAATGAAATCAGTAGGTCTGCCACCTGGCGGCGCGTTGAGGAAACGCATCCTCGCCGACTCCAGGGAGCCCAGGGTATTTTCTTTCCGAGTCCGACAGTTACTTTTGACATGCTTCAACACGAACGATGTACAGAGAGAAAATACCGTTAGGATTTGGTTTGGGAGTTACCTATAGCGGTAAAAACAACAACGTAAATACAGTTAGTGTTGATTACAGTGTCATTAACAAACACAGTGTGGTTGTACTGTATTGTGTAAGCAGCATAACTTTAGTCTCACTCCACTGTTGGGAAATAGGGCCCAGTCTTGGTACTAGATATATGAAAGCGAGAGAAAGGGTGGGATGTTATAAAGAGAGAAATTACCTGCAGTAACTTGCCAAGTGACACGGCAACGTTTATTTAATCATGTTCAAGTACACTCATCTTAACAGAAACTTTAAAGTGCAGTGTGAGAGAATTATAGGTTACATTTCAAAATAGGCCACATGAACTGTATAGGCCTGCAACAGTGAATGAAGCAAATCTACAAACAAAACAACATGAATTTACTAATATTCATCTTGTATTAAAGTATTCATTTTCTCTCTAATGCCTGAAAAGTAATGACTATTCGCTGTTATTCATAGTGGATTTGCAGTGCAGTCTTGTTTAAGAAACATATACTGTATTATTTTAGTCTTTCCATCCTGAAGAGAAGATTAATTAAAAACTACTGTTGATTTTGGTGTTATGTTAATGTAATAAGGGAAATTTGCATATTTGCTGGTATAAAGACTTTTAGCAGTGAAAGTAGAGTTAACATGCATCCTCTTTTTCCCAGACATGTCCTGGCTGGGATTTTTAAATTGCCTAAAATGTCTGGGATTTGGCTCTGTTTTCTTATGTTTTATATTTGCTGAAGGTAATGACTGAAAAGTAGTTTGACCAATAGCGTACAAGCATTGTATAATAATCATTATCAAAATGGCTTGGATCTACAGTGAATGGACAAAGCAATGCAAATCTGCATAAAATATAATGTATGACGACTGTAGAGAGCATGTCAATAGGAAAACAAAGCCAAAACCCGGAAAGAGGGGACGTATGGTCATCCTAGTGAAATTTCTCTTTGTATTATCATTGAAAATTAAGTGCCAATATGGCAGCAGACAAATCATTTACAAGGCAAAAAAAAAAAGGAAAGTCCACAACACTCAGTCCATAAGGACAGGCGTGATCACCAGCGGAGCATCATTTTTGCCTGTTTTGTTGGTACAGGGACTGAAAAATGGGTAAATGGTCTCAGAGAAGTTGTTCATAAACGTGTAGATGTGCATCTTTGCATCCACATTATAAAAGGACACTTGGCCTTTTTCGTAGTCCACAAACAGCCCTATCTTCTGAGGTTTCAGGCTGAGGGGTAGGGCAGTAGAAGGCTCAGTCCTGAAGGCATAGTTGTTCTTGTCCCGCAAGCTAAGAAACCAGTAGCCGTTGCTGGGGCTGACTGTGATCTTACCCTTCCTGTTGCAGGAATGACTCGCCACTCCCAGGTCCCAGTCAGTCTTTCAGGAATAATTTACATTTTAAAATTTGGTGCTATATGTAAATTCTAACTTTAATTATATTTAATTATATTAAAATTGTATTGATTAAAATTAATTTATGTTTAATTATATATACAGTATATACATATATATATTAAGACAAATTAACAAATAAATAGTCATATGTGTTTAGTTTAGAATGTATAATGCACAGAAATATATGATTTCTCTCAATTACCATAATGGCATATAAATCCATGTGCATAATAATTAATTATATAAAATTATAAATTACTGAGCAAACTAGAAAAATTATTTTAAATATAGTTTTTGATGAAGTATAGTGTGTCATACTGCTTGACAAGTTCCCAAATGCTCAAAAACTACTTGCACAAGAACAAACTGAAGTTCTTATGGCCTTCAAGGGATGCAGATGTGATGTGCAAGTATTAACAATCAATAAACTGTTATCTCAACTATTTAGGACTTTATCCATAACAGGGCAAAGCTGTTATCAAGTCTTGAGAAAAAAACAACAACTTTATAGCACCTGCTTATATATACACTGCAATAAAAGCAATAAAATGCCATCTCTAACACATACCTGAATATTCCTGCATTCTCTTCACTTCTGCAAAACATTGAAATAAGATCATTGTTATTGAAAAGATGAAGTTTAAAAATGCATTTCGTAATTCTAGATCCATAGTTATATAATGAATCATGGTAAGACGAACACTTGCCAACAGAAGTCTTACTTGGGTGTGACTTCACAGGTGATTGGTTAGCGGACACAGAGAGGCCTAGAGCAGAAAGAAACTATGTCAACCAAAAGAGGCAAAGCGCATGAAGTAACTTCTCCATCTGCCACTTGGTGGCACTGTAGTGTAGTGTTTGACAGGTGTCACTCACAGAAGGCAGGTGGTACTTTCTGAAGCTCCTCCTTAAACTGTTCCAGTAGCTGACAGACAGAGGTATAAATTGTTTTAGTTCCAAGGTCACAGGTCAGTGAGACACCCGTCCAGTCTTTCATTGTCTTGGGAGTGCTGACGTCAGAGTAGCCCTGTTGGAGAAGACCAGGAGCAATTTTTGAACTTGTTTGTCAAGTCATGCTTATTTTCTCTCTATAGTCATAATTTGCCAGTTGTTCATTGACTGCTCCCATTGTAAAATATCTAATAGCATTTCTAACTCCACTGGCAAATAGATAAAGAAAGGTGTTCGGTATATTATACATTCTATATTAAAATCTATATATTCTTAAACAAATATATAAATAAAAATAATAAAAATTTGTAACAGTAGAAGAGAAGAAACTGAAAAGATGGAAGAACTGGAGAGTCTATTACACAGATGAAATCTGATGCCAAAGGTATGAGTATGTTTTCTTGACACATTACAGACCTTCAGTCCGGTGATGTAATTTTCAGTCTGGGCCAGTTTAGCAAGCGCTGTGCTTCTCCTCCTCAGTTCTGTGATCTCCTGCTCCAGCTCTCTGATCATGAGCTCAGCCTGGTGCTCTGCTGAGCGACGGTTTATCTCAGTCACTTCCAGCAGCCCTGCCTGACTGCGCTCGAGGGAGCTTATCAAAGCTCCAAACAGCTGCATGCTGCACTGCACCTCATGCTCTGACAGCATCTGGAGCACAGGGGGAAGCAGAAGCAAGGATGAAGGAAGATGTCTAAGCAAGGTTTTCATCAAGGTCCAGTACTTGTTATAATATCAGTTGACATTACTATCAGACGTAGCTGTTCACTTTTCTCCAAGACTTTGGGGATTTTTTGATGTTGTGGGATGAAGAAAACAAGTGAAGCTACTGCGTTACTCACTTTGATATCAACTAGTGATTGTTTGATCTCCTCCACTTTCTCCATCCTCTGCTTGGTCATCTCCTGTATCTCGTTCTCTGTGATAGCAATCTTCATCTGTGTGAAAGAAAACAGGAAATGATGCAGCAGGAAGCGCCCCAGATTTTACCAGTCAATGCATGGTGGTAATGCAACATTGTACCCCTGAAGGTAACATTTTTGCACAGTTTTTTTCTGAAAGTGTTTGAACACCATTGGATTAGCTAACAAAATCAAATCAAGTGGAATTTTTTATTATTATCTTTATTTTAAATATTGATAGCACAAGCATACCTTTCAAGCAAGAATTGTTACATTTATTTATTTATTTTAAAGATTGATAGCACAAGCACAATTTTCAAACAAGGTTTCATTTTCATTTGTTTGTTTACAAAACACAAGCACAAAAACAATACATTTTACATTTATTTATTATCGGTTTATATATTTTTATTTGTTTTTATCTTTTGCTTTATTTTGTTATTTTATATTGTATTCTATTTTATAAGATTGATAGCATAAGCACACTTTTCAAACAAAGAATTTATACTGTTTAAAATTAAGACAAAAGGTATTTGGACAGTTTTGTCTTATCAAAAACCAGTTAATGTAATGAACCAGTTTGGTGAAAAGTCATTGCTAAAACTCAGAAAAGTTAGTTCATTTGTTTGTGCACTTTGATATTTAATTTCATTGATATCTAATACAATGAAATTCACATATTTGTAAGGTGACTTAAGTAATAATATTATTTGGGGCCACTGTATAGATACTGAGGGGTATTGATGTAGGGGATTTACAGATTTTTTTTTGGTCAGTACCAGTTGTTACTTATTCCTCATTTCATCCTACCTTACTATTCTGCTGTTTTTTGTTTTATTTTTATTTGTAATGTTTTTAAATGTTTTATTTATAACACAAACACATATTTTTTACTTTATTTATTTGTTTGTTTATTGTTTTGTTTTAAAGATTGATAGCACAAGCACACTTTTCAAACATTATTTGTTTTTATTTTATTGTTTTGTTTTAAAGATCAATAGCACAAGCACACTTTACAAACATTATTTGTTTTTATTTTATTGTTTTGTTTTAAAGATCAATAGCACAAGCACACTTTACAAACATGTTTTGTTTTTATTTTATTGTTTTGTTTTAAAGATCAATAGCACAAGCACACTTTTTAAACAAGATTTTATTTTATTGTTCTGTTTTAAAGATCAATAGCACAAGCACACTTTTCAAACAAGATTTTATTTTATTTTTTAATTTCAATTTTATTTTATCCAGGTAACCAGTTATTGATGAACTACAGTACACTTAGTGACAGTAGTTAAAAGTCATTGCTAAAACTCAGAAAATGTAATTGATTTGTTTGCAAATGCAACTTTGATATTTGATTTATTTTAATCTAATACAATGAAATTCACATATTTTTAAAGTGACTTAAGTAATAATAGTTTTTGGGGCCACGTTTTTTGGTTTAGATGTGAAGGCTTTTAGAGATTTTCTGTCAGTACCAGTTGTAACTTATTCTTCATTTCATCCTACCTTATGACTCTGCCACTCTTTCTCGGCACATGTGATGTCATGTGACTGGTGTTCCGTTTGTCCACACTCAACACAAATACATTCCACATCAGATCGACAGAACAGCTCCAGGTTTCGGTGATGTTTTGGACAAAGGCGGACTTTCATGGCATCTGCCGCCCCACTCAAGGTATACCTTCGCAGGGACACCTGTCTGGCAAAACCAGGTGGCTGGGTGTCACTAGTACTATCAGTATTTAGTGTTTGTTCAGACCACGTTTCATTCTGAGAGGCCAGAGAATTGCGGTGTGCCCTGTGCCGTGTGAGTCTCTGCTTCATTTCATCAAGAAGATAACCTGGAAGCTGGCCTGGCCTAAGTGTACTACCAACGGGCTCTTGTGTCGTTCCCCCTTCCTCAGCGTCTCTATCTGCCCCGTCCCCTCCAGAGGCCCCCGGGTTTCCCTTCATGCACTTGAACTGTTCAGTGATCTCTCGGAGAGTTCGATTAATGTGGAGATCGGGCTTTCTCTTGAAGGTCTGCTTGCAGAGGGGGCACTGACAGTGCTTCACTGAGTCCCAGTAGTGGCCGATGCAGGTCATGCAGAAGCTGTGGCCGCATGGCGTGGACACCGGATTGTCAAACACATCTAAGCAGATGGAGCACAGCAGCTGCTCTTCAGACAGGAAGCTTTGTGAGAATGGCATGGCTGTGCAGAGGGACGGCAAAAAATACAGAGGAGACAAGGAAAAATGGCAAGATAAGAGATGACAATGAGGGAAAAATGCAAAAATAAAAGGAAATGTAAAGATGTCAGTTTTCGTTTTGGTTATTATAGTACATCAGGTTACTAAATGAAAATTAGAAATATTGTAATCGTAAATGTCTGAAATAAAAACAAATATACGTTTTATTTTTTCATTTTTGACTCAACAGCAAACATACAAGTAGAATATCATCAACACCTTGTGTCAATAAGAAAGCTGTGAGAATAGAAGCAAGTACTAAAACTAGAACCAATATGCAACATAATCAAACACAGTATATAAGGTCAAATACGATTGTACAATTGTTCAGTTGTCAATATTCACAGACATAGAATTACTGGATCAGTGAATGTTTGTAGTAATAGTCCAGGATCGGGGTTAGTTTCATTGAGATGATTTCAAATGTTTTGTAAATCTCACTAAATTTGACAAAATGGTGTCCTCACCTCTAATCAGCAGTTTCACACTGGAATGAGGCACTACTGGCTAACCTGTGCACATGTTGCGTAAGAGCACTTGTCACGTTTTAGATCTGTCTTCTTCAGTGGTATGTTCCTTCCTTAGCTGCCAATTATCTTATGCTGCGTTCAAGTCCTCCTGGGACGTTCGTATTTAGGAGTTGACAAGTCGTAATTAGGACGTCAGGTGCGTTCAAGTCAGTTTAGTCGGCACAAGATGGCGGTGTACCTTCTTTTAATAAATTACAAGAAAATACAACAGGGTCTGTTAACTCTGCTTATAGAAAAGGAAGAGCAAAGAATTCGCACCAGCCACTAGTAATTACGACTTTGTGGTGGCGTTCAACTCGTAAATACGATCTATCCGACATGACTTGAACGCACCATAAGTCCTGTGGAGCAGCTTAGTGGGTTCTGGGAATCCAAACTTATTTGTAACTGAGGAAACAAATGAACAAACACACACAAATGCAACCATTCAGTTGTACTATTATGTCAGTGGCGCACTTAAAACTCCAGAATGTCATTGAATAAAAACAAAATACCAAACCAAGTAACATCTACTAACAAATTAACCATTTTCTCAAACAAACCTTTTTTTAGCTATTTTTTTCCAGTGACTTTTAACCAGCTGGCCCATGATTTTTAGCAGATGTATGAAGTCAGTTCCCTCAGGTTCACAGTGTGCTTCACCAGTGTCTCTGAACCAAGTTTGACAAGTGGTAAAATAGGTTTTGTCCCTTTTTACAACTTAAAAAAAAATTATTTGCTTGAGAGGTGTGCTTGTGTTATCTTTCTTTTTAAATAAATACTTGGTTTCATTCATCGTCTGATTAATGACATCCATTCATTTTTAAGTGTGGCTTAAGTGTCAACTAATTTTTTGGTAAAAATACTTCTTTAACTATGATTAAATATGAACTATATCTTTTATAACAGTTTTTGACTTACATGCTTAACGCCAAATCTATGTGAACAGTCATACAATTTTATTTACATTACATTTCTGAGAAAATTACCTCTGTAAGCCCTTTCTTTATCCGGTGGTCACTCATTATGTGCTCCTGTTGTACCCTGACGGTTCAGTTTTACAGGTATGATTGAAAATCTTACATGTGGTTTGCTTTTGGTTGACTGATCTGCCCCTCCTTCCTCAGCTCTTTCTCTCTCCCCCCTCTCTTTCTCTCAGACAGTGAGTTCAAACCTGTCTGATGAGATTCCAAGCAAGTTTACATGCTTGTTTCAGACACACGACACTTCAGTGTCAGGTTTTGTCAAATAAATCATGCAGAAACATAAGTAGTTTACATTTTGATGTAACTAATACTGACAATGATCATGACCAAACCCAGACACAATCGGCAAAGATTTCATTTGATTCAATACTGCTCAAAATTAAGAAAAAAAAGTTAATCTGCTAATATGAATGAAATGTTTATATGATGAACTACACAAAATGACACTAGTAGAATAAAAGTCATTGCTAAAAGTCAGAAAAATTTTATTTTTATTTATTATTTTTTGGCATTTTCTTTTTGGGAGTAAATGGTGGAATTCTGTTAAATGGATTTGAATATTGTAAAAAAAAAAAAAGTTAAACTGAGATGACAGCACAACATGCTTATTGGTAGCTGGAATATAATAAAAACAAAAATTATAAATAAATGAAAGAATGAATAAATAATAAATAAATAACACTAGGAGATAGAGCTGCAAAACCTGCAATTCTAAAGAGATCTGGGCCTGATCATGACTGAATACGGCTGAATTAAAGGTCTTTTGAGGTCAGTTTGTGGGGTGATTCAGAGGTCACGTGCAAAATAAAACTTCAGTATGGAAAAACCTGACGTAGTGTTAAATCTGCAGAAAAACAGATGTTTTTCGTAAGGGAGAACCAGATGGTGACACAAGGTACATACCATCTGTAGAGAGACAGATAGAATGGCTTCATTTCATGAATGGTATTTCAAAAGTCAAACGCTACTCTACATCTGCCATTAACATTAGGGAAAGAGAGAGAGAGATATGAAAGAACACAAAGAGTGCAATTGATCAGGGCACTTTTGTCTCGTACCTCACTAAAGTTGGTTCTAACCAGTTCTCACCATTTCTCTCAACTTGTAGACATACTTTTACCAGTGTTTATCCCTTAAATCGGCATACATTATAAAATAATCTGAAGACTGACAGTTTTAAGGTGATGTAAGTAGAAAGAGTAAAAAGAATCAGTCTGTGATTTCTATAAAACATGTTTTATTTGATTGCATTATATTTATTAATACAGTCCCTAGTATCCAAGCTGGTAATTTGACATACATTTACACAATTGCAAATGTATGTCAAATACGTTACTCGTGCAAAAATGTCTATAATGCACAAACCAGCCAAAGCAGCGCTACAGAGCACTGAGCACCAAAACAGCCAGACATAGGAAAAGTTTCTTCCCTCAGGCCATATACCTCATGAACAGTTAAATGTTCTCCCCACTGTGCAAGACCCAACTATCTATACTTCTATCCATACATCTATCCACATTCCCTTGCATAATTTGTATATAGCACATCTGTACATACAATATACTGTTTACTGTCTCTTTGCCTATTGTGTTGCTTTTACATATTTATTTTTACTCACTTTTTTTGTCTGTGCACTGGAAACTTCTGTTACCAAGACAAATTCCTTGTGTGTACAAGCACACTTGGCAATAAAGCTCTTTCTGATTCTGAAAGCAGCTCTTATTGTGTGTTGCTTTTACATATTTATTTTTACTTACTTTTTTTGTCTGTGCACTGGAAACTTCTGTTACCAAGACAAATTCCTTGTGTGTACAAGCACACTTGGCAATAAAGCTCTTTCTGATTCTGAAAGCAGCTCACCAGCTGGATACTAGGTTATCAACTCATAGTTTGCATATATTTTATATTGCATATATTCCAAGCAGTAGTCATTGTCCACAGTTTGAGATTGATATAGCAGCCTACATGACACTTAAAATGACTGCTCACAAGTCTTGATGGCATCTGAGCTCAGTTCTCCATCATGGCAACTCTCTGTCCCTTTCCGCTCACGCTCTTCGCTCTCTTCATTTGGTAGACCACCTTGGCCGCCGCATCTGAGAGACTCTGGAGGAGAAAAAAGTGATGTGATGATCCATGATATCTAAGCATGATTTGTTCATTTTATGTATAACCTTTTTTCAAAATCCTAAAAAGTACATCCGGGTGTTCAATTACATTTTGAATCCCAGATTTTCTCTGTTATATAAAGTGTGGGAGATCTTTAACTCACCGCAGTGGAAGATGTTCGGGATGCTTGTTTGGCATCAGTTTCTGTTGTGTTCTGTTTAGAGTAAAAGTGTGTCATGCTTATTTAGTCACAATGATTCATCTATAATGCTAATATGGCTTGGGGCTCTTTTGGAGCTGAGCAGATTTCAAAACATGTTGAATGTTAAAGACAATCACTGACACATGTCTACAAGCATGTGAGAGTGTGTCTATCTTGACTGTGGTATGCTGAATTAAGTAAACAATGACAATGCTTGATAAATGCTCTGCTAAAGTGACTATTTTTGATATAGTTTTAATTTGTTATTTATAAAATTTATTCATCAAATAAAACTTGTTTCATATGCATTCATATTTGACTAGCACGACATACTGATTAGTTAAATATTCTATAATGTTTTAATGGATTAAATATTAATGATTATATACCGTTTGAAATTTTTGGAATAGTTTTACGAAGTCTCTTACGCTCACGAAGACTGCATTTATTTGATCAAAATACAGTAAAAGCAGTAATGTTGTGAAATGCTGTTGTAATTTAAAATAACTGCTTTTTATTAAAATGTAATTTGTTTCTCTAATGGCAAAGCTGAATTTTCAGCAGCCATTAATCCAGTCTTCCGTGTCGCCTGATACTTCAGAAATAATTATATTTTTTTATACTTTTATTCAGCAAGGATGCATTAAACGGATCAAAAGTGATAGTAAAGACATGTATAAAGTTACACAAAAATCGAAATAAATGCTGTTTATTTTTACTTTGTACATTCTATTCATCAAAGAATCCTGAAAAAATGTATCACAGTCCACAAAAACATTAAGCAGCACAGCTATTTTCAGCACTGATAATAATAAGAAATGTTTTTGACACTGAAGACCGAAGTAATGACTTCATTAAATTCCAAAATAAAATGAAATAATATATGGTTGAGGGTGTATTCAGACCTTATTGACAGTGGTGAGGTCTTCACAGATCATACTCATGGTACTAATCCAGTTCCCATAGATACTCTCTTCTTTAGGACTCGGCTTCTGTTGACTGTAAGATAAACATTGAGAGAGACGTATTTTATACATACACACATGATGTAGCAGAGAGCCGTCTGGAGAAGTTTGCTGTACCTGATGTCTTTGAGAAGGTCCTGTTGAGCTCTGAGTTGTCTCTGTGCTTCCTGTACTCGGCCCTCCATAGTTAGCCTGGCACACAGCTGGGCACAGTGAACGCCCAATACGGACATATTTAAACTGCCTGCCCACACCCAACTACACACACAGAACAAGACACAGAGATGGAGAAAGGAAGGTTGTTTTATATATATGTTGTCATGAGCTGTAGATCTGGAGGGTGTTTGCTGTTATTGTGTAGTATTTTGAGTGGTTTGCCTGCTGGTGGTGACTCGTTTCTGTTGAGTGATGACTCTCGTCACTTTCTGCAAATCTCGAGTCTTGAAACTCAGCTGCAGCTGAAAAGGGACCCGGTCCCGTTGTTGGAAACCTGAAAACACATTTAAAGATACACAAAAAGTTCTACATTTTGTGTTCCATACAAAAAAAATAACAGTAAACAGATTTGGAACAACATGAGGGTGAGTATGAAAAAAACAGTTCCATCTTTTCTCTAATGCTTCATTTTCTTTTGATTGCACTGTATATTTTGTGCTTACTTTCAACTTTTTCTGGTCTGACTGCAAACTGGAAGGTGATCTCAACACCATCTGTTACGTTGCCAATCTCTCGTACTAACCGATAATTATCCTCCTCATATGGGAAGTACCTGCATCAGTCAGAGAAGACAGAGAAAAATAGAGACATTATGAAATGTGTATATTGTGTATAGTGCATATGT